CTGCACCCCTGCCCACAGGCACCTGGAAGTACTTGTTCAGTGAATACACGAGAAGCTTATAAAAGAGAAGGCAGGACAAAATGGGAAATGCATTTAGTGGCTCTTGGTATTAGAGATATTTCTGGGGCCAAATGGCTCCCAAAGCAAGTTTTATTTTCTGTTAAAGCTTAGTTTAAAACCAAGCTTTGCTGGCAAATTTCACTTTGAGCCTCTCTTTGATTTAGTTTGAGAGTCTTAACGTTTAATCGCTTGTATCTTCTGCACACTTGACCAAGGTCTCTCCCATCTAGCTGCTACCGGTTATCCAAGGCCGGTATCTGAACACCTGCTGGTCAGTGCTTCCTTAACAGTGTCTCCTATAACCAAGGCCTCTTGCAGGAGGGTTAGCCACCAGACCACGGGCTCGACTCTGGACTGGACGCTACACTGCTGACTTTGAAGGTAAAGTGTCGTGATTCTGTTCAGGTTGATGCCACCGGATTTGCCTAAAAGCAACAGGGATTCTAGAGGGAGAAGCATTTTCCTATTTGAAGGATGGACAGGCATAAGTACCCACCTACTTATGTACCCTCCCTCCATAAGTACCCTCCCACCTGGCAGGAGAAGGCTGACCCTCTACCACTGAACCTGAAACTCTCAGGAGGCTCTCGAGGTGTCCTTCAAGAAGACCTTCCTTTACTCAAGGAGGCGAGATGCCACTAGCAACTCAATTCAAACATGTAACCTGCTCAGTAAAAAACAAATGTAAGAATGGGGGCAGAGGGAAGTAAGAGGTACAATCTACTGGGTAAAAAATAAGCGACAAGGACACATTGCATAACGTGCGGAATATAGCCAATATTCTATAATAACTATAAATGGAGTGTAACCGTTAAAAATTGTGAACCACTATGTTGTACACCTGTAACTTACAGAATACTGTATGTTAACTATATTTTAAGAAAAAAAAAAACTTGGAACTTTTAGACTCACCCTCCATCTTCTGGGGGGAAGGTAAAGGGAGTGGAGATTGAGTTAATAATGAATTATGCCCATGCTGAAGCCTCCATAAAAATCCCTAAACTATGAGGTCTGGAGAACTCCTGGGTTGGTGTAATATCCACATGCCGGGCGGGTGGTACAACCACCTCCATGGGGACAAAGCTTCTGACCTTGGGACACATCCACACCTCACCTGACGGACCTCTTCATCTGACTTCTCACCTGCATCCCTTAAGAAAAAGGATGGGGAATGGAGGGCGATGTGAGGTCGGCCCCACCACAGTCCCATAAAGGTTCCCTGACACGGGGCACAGGGCGCTCACCTAGAGCTTTCACGTCCCCGAGTACTTCCTAACTGCCCTGGGCCTGTTCTCTTAACTGTAAAACGAGGTTCCTAACCCAAGTTTCTTCTAAATTCCTTCCCAATTCTAAGATGCCCAAATTTGGGAGGCGGGTAACTTCACTGCATTGAACTGGGCTGGTCAACAATTCCTTTAAAACAAAAGCAATCCGTCTCCTGTTCAGCTTCCTTAGACACCATTCTGCTTGTTCGCCATCTTTTCTTTTGACGACTTGCTCCCTCTAGTGATAAATTCAATCATATATCAGAACTGGCTTGGGCAACAGTCTGCTTCAGAGGACAAGAACACGTAGAGGAAACTCAGCGTTAAGCAGAATGAAGGCAGGCCAAAGACGCAAGTGAAGAGAGGACGAGAAGAGCCCAAGGGCCGTCAGCACCTGCAGTGTGCCCGTGACTGCTCCAGCGCCTGTGCCCCACGAGCAGTGCAGGGGGCGGCACTTCTGACTGCGGTACCTCCTTCCTCACGTCAAATCCAGACTCAGTTTCTTTTTCACTTAGCAAGATCCAGGCTATATTAGGACTTCTGGAGACGGTCACCCGTCTAACGCAGACAACCACGCACATCTGCTCTAAGCACATGGGCTAAGCGGCCGCTAAGACATGAAGCCCTGTGCTCATTGTCGGTTTTCCGGCGGGGATGGTTTTGATTAAAAGCACGCACTGTGCAGGGCCCCGACCAAGCCCCCAGCCTTCTCAGCGTCCCTTGTGTCACCAACAAAGAAATGCATGACTAGCCTCCTTCCTCCCTCCCAGACTGCATGACAAACATCAGGGCCGTTCCTGGCCATCAACCTTACCTGTATACAAATGTTGGTTACATTTTTCTAGCTTAGGTCCACAAAAAGAAATAAATTTCCACGATGTCTACAGAGATTAAGGTTAAACAACAGAAAGGTTTTCTGAGCCATGCTCTTGTTACTGATATATGGGTGAGAGGCTGAAGAATCTTCGAGAAGAGGAGAGCATCTGTACACATTTGGAATCATTTTAGTTCCAACTCTGACTGGAGACAGAGTTTCCTTTCTACCCTTAAAGTAAAGTATTATCACCGACTGATACCATGTACGCGAGGCTCAAGAACAGGCAACACTGCTCTACGGTGGCGGCAATCGGAAGAGTGGCTGCCTCTCAGGACAGGGGATGGGGGATGAGGGAACTTTTCAAGGTGACGGAAAAGTTCTGCATCTTGACTTGAGTGGTGGCTACACCACTGATTACAACCGTCAAAACCCATCCAACAGTACACTTTAGGTCTGTGCAGTTCACTGACTGTACATCTATCCCAATTTAAAATAACAGATGTCAGAGTCTTGGGAAGAGTTAACTTAAAAAACAGTAGATTCCTGGAGTGGGAGAGCGGTTGTGACACAGTCCTGACCATCTTGAGGTTAGATTTCCACAATTTACAGGGACGGGCCTGTTGTTCTGTGGGCCCGTATGGATCCCGGCATCACGCCTGCCAGGACTGGACGAGCGCTCGGGAGAGAACCAGTCAGAGCTGCGCTAACACAGGCCGGGGTCAGGATGCTGCCGCCCCTGGGCACCGTGGTGGGCAGGAGACATGCCAGGCGTGCTGTGAGTGCTGGCGCACCTGCACACACTCAGCTACCATCAGAGAGAGGACTGGCCCTTCATTCCTCTCTGAAGACTCACACTGGCGTCCGCTGGACACGCGGTGAACACTGGCAGATGCCTCGAGCAATGGGATTAGTGGACCATTTTTCAGTCTGACAAATGACTCTATGTCAAATCTCACCAATCAGAAAATCTTTTCTGTAATGGTCGTTCAGTGAACTTCTCTGGGAAGCATGGCATCAGAGGCACCTTCGTGGCCCTTGCCTGGTGCACCAGGCAAGGACTTTTCACACCAAGTAGCTTAGAAACGTGCAGGCAAAGATTTTCACTGACAGAGACAGTGGCCAACACCAAGCTCTCCTGTGTAACTCCCTCCGTGGAGCTCACCGGCCTCTATGACCCTCTATGGGTGACGGGCCACTTCAGTGCTCTGTAGTCAGCACCCGGGATCTCTCGTTAGGGGTTTTCTAATATAGTTCCCCACAGAGGCTCTCCTGCGTTCACTCTTCATCCCCTGAAGCCTCCCCAAGCCCCTGTGGAATGAAGTCACTGTCGTGTGCACACACCCCCTGGCCGGGGGAGCCTCCACGCGGCATCTGCACCCAACGTCCACTCCTCCCCGTGAGGCAGCCCCGGCTGCAGCTGCACGCAGGCAGCTCTCACCACGCCACCATGGGCACTGCTTTCTGGAGGCCCCTGCTGACTGTTTAGGATCTCGACCAAAATATAGGCAGGTCAATGACATAATATAGCATTTCTACTTCCTCTGCTAAAAACAAATTAGTTTTCATTTTCAGTATGAGTTATTAAACATATTCTGAGAACATACTGTCACATAACTGTAGGGTAGAAAAAAGGCCATCTTCTTACATAATTCCCAATAGAAATGTACATGGAGTCTCAATTCATTTAGTCAACACCAAATCCCTTCCTTCTTGAAAAATGGTACTGGGGACTTCCCTGGTGGTCCAGTGGTTACAACTCGGCGCTTTCACTGCCGTGGCCCGGTTTGATCCCTGGTCAGGGAACTAAGATCCTGCAACCTCTGTAGTGAGGCCAAATAAACAAACAAACAAAGACTAAACAAAACAAAACAAAAACCAAAGAAAAATGGTACTAATGGTACTAGAAAAGCATTAACTTTCTATCACTTGTGAGTGGCTTACAGGAACCTGGAGCTTCAGGAAAGCTGGCCTGGGGTGCCCACAGCAGAGAAGAGCTGGGTGCCAGGCCTTAAGGGGTCTGGTTACACAAGAGCCAAGGAGCTAAACATTATTTCAAAGTCAAATGTAAGTGACTTCTGGGCTGTTTACACTATTCATTCTTGTGTTTCTCTCTGTTAGCGTGGAGAGGATGTAGATCCATAAGAAACAGTATCACTCTTCACTTTTCTTCCCAAGATTTCTAAGTACTTTATACGATCCAATAGCACAATAGAGAAAAAGAGCCCGAACTGTGTTAGAACCTGGCAGGAGGCACTGAAAAATGCAGGAAACTCGTTCAAGAACATGGGCATTGTTACACCATTTAAGAAAACAGGGGACTTCCCTGGTGGCGCAGTGGTTAAGAATCTGCCTGCCAACGCAGGGGACACGGGTTCCATCCCTGGTCCAGGAAGATCCCACATGCCACGGGGCAACTGAGCCCATGCACCACAGCTACTGAGCCTGCGCTCTAGAGCCCATGAGCCACAACTACTGAGCCCGCGTGCCACAACTACTGAAGCCCGTGCACCTAGAGCCTGTGCTCCACAACAAGAGAAGCCACCTCAATGAGAAGCTTGCGCACCGCAACCAAGAGTAGCCCCCGCTCGCCGCAACTAGAGAAAGCCTGCGCACAGCAACGAAGACCCAACGCGGCCAAAAATAAAATAAATAAACAAATTTAAAGAAAAAGGAAAGAAAACAGTATACCAGCGAGCACCCGTCCCATCTTGCAGAGGAGCGTCCACCTCCAAACTCTCCCTGGACCCAAGTCTGCACAGAGCCTGCTCTTCCTTCTGTTAACTGTGTGCACGCGAGCAGGGATGAGCCCTATGGGGACGCTGAGCCCCACGGTGGCAGCCTCACTGCTGGTTGCTTACCCACGCTGCTTTCACCTCTTCCGAGACATCAGTTTCATCTTCCTGGAAAGGGAGAAAGAAAAAAGACAAGAGGATCACGGTCACAGGTATCCCTGGAGGCAACAAGGTCAGTCCCATCAATTATGCACCTGGGCAGTGAGGGCTGACGGCCAAGGGCACTGTCACTGCTGCTTTTAGCAGCACCTCAGGAGTACCACTTGCTGTCAAAGAGTCCAATGAACCTGGCAGGAAAAGGAGAATCTTTAAGACAGACGGACCTCACTTGGGCTTTGTCAGTAGCTGTCAGCCCGTTTTGTCCTATAATAATCAAACACTTTCGTCTAGTAGTCTCTAACAGGCGACCATCATTGTCTCATTTCTTGTCTCACTGAATGGTCCATCTAATTCCAAATGAGTCACTAGTGACCAGGGACCTGATCTTGGCCACTTGACTGTTAAATGCCAGTGACAAGGCTGAGTGAGCAGGGTACAGACCAGAGGGGAAGGAAAGAACTGAGTGTGTGCTTGTCATCAGGAGGCACAGCAGCCCCTGTCTTCATTTAAAAGCCAAAGTCAAGCTGTTTTATAGCACTTGTTCCTTTTTTTCTCCAAAGGAGTAAACCTGAGTCAGATGAAATTCTGAAATTCTCGAGATTCTGGCAGTGCCCCTGAAATACTTGGTTAGCACCTGCACACACACGATGTTGAGGTGTTGCTGACTCACCACGGGGCTCTCAGGGGCCGCTGGGGGGCTGCTAAGTCTGAGCGGCTTATGCACTTGTTATATTTGTTTGCACGGCTGCTGTAAATTCACCGCTTATTTGCTGCCCGCCTCCCGTGTGCTCGGCACTGTCCTAGGCCCTGGGCGTCCCAGCCAGAACATTCCAAATGAGTCCCACACTAGTGGAGTCTTTCTTCTGCTGCTCTTTTTCTCAGCGGTGCCTCCTGACAATCTGCACGGTTCACGGCCCCGTGTGGAACTCTTCCTTTTGAGCCCAACACACAGGGCGGCGGGCAGCACAGCGCAACGCGAGATGCCCCAGCACAGACAGCCCACTTACATCCTTCGTCCAGAAGCTGATGCCTGTGCCTCTTCGTCGCTCCTTGGGCCGCCTCCTCTCACGAATGGACAGCCTGTTAGATGACTGATCACCCAAATCTGCTTCTTCGCCCTCTGGTCAGAGAGAAAACAAAGCATGGATCTTAAGAACCTGGGGCACGTGCACTGGAGGAGGGTGCGGTTCCTGAAGCTCGACCTACCGTTTTTGTCCATTTCCTTTGCCCCTGCAGGGCTGGCGGGGGGCTCTGAACTCTCTGAATCAGGGGCTGAAGACCTACCCGTCCGGAGCAGGTAGGAACTGGTGTAGAGGGAGGGTCTCGGGGCAGGAGGTGACACTGGTGTCATGGGTTTGTCTGGCTGAGCCGGAATCCTCAGGCGACGATACACAGGCTGGAACAATCCACATGATGAGATGTCAGAGGTCAAGTCTAACCAAAGGGTAAGGACAGCACGTTTATTAAAAATGGGCTTTTCTATATCAAGAGGCTTATAAGTAATTAGCCAGATAGGAAAGAGTTCTAGACGCCTGCTCTGAAGATGCTACAGGCTGACAGCAGTCCAGGACAGCTCTTCCTAAACTGATCAAAGGGCACTAGGGGGCACCAACCTTGGTAATAAAAATTCCTTTGATTGTGCACCGCAAATAGGAAGGATGATGGCCTTTTTAAGATGGCGCACTGAAAGGTAAGGTTTACGTAGGAAACGAAGAAGCTCAGGAATGTGAAGAAACAATGCAGGAGTTATCTGAAGACAGACCAAATCTGAGCGTTCTACCAACCTGCCATCACTAGGCTTACTGACACTTCTGAAAAATTCCCGCTTTCTGAGACTTCCCTGGTGGGCCAGCGGTTTAAGACCACGTGCTTCTACTGCAGCGGGCACAGGTCTGATCCCTAGTTGGGGAACTAAGATCCCACATGCCACACCCCCAAACCCCGAATAAATAAAAATTTAAAAAAAAATTCCCACTTTCCCTTTTGAACTTTTTTTTTCCTTGAGAGTTAGGACAGACACAGCTTGACAATAAACCTTAATGTGGCTTGTTGAACATGCAGAGATAAAGAAATTCTTACTACATGCAGAGATTGTATAAATTTGTTTATAAGTTATAGAGACAGAAGCAATAAAATATAGTCAGCTTGGGAGTCTGAGAGAACGTGGCTCCAATTCCAGCTTGAAGGAGCTGTGTGACCTGAAGTACGTGACTTGAGTTTTGATCTCTGCTTCCTCATGTATAAAACAGGGATAATAATATCTTCCTCAGAGAGGGCTGTGAGGATTAAATGAGAATGTATGTTATGTGCTTACAACGGTCTCTAGTATGTAATAAGTACTCAAAAAATAGCCGATAAAACAAATGAAACGAACAACAGAACCTCAGTTAGTTTATGCAGCCTAGCCATTCAAAGTTAGAGCAAGAAGACTTTCTTCTCCTGTAATTATGTTGACCATAAAGTTTATCATCCCAACTAGGACATTTCTGAGAGTGAAAAGGAACAGTACTGATAATTACCCAGAGATAAAAGCTGTCACTGGAACAATCTTAGGTAAACCAGGAGTTACGATCACCTTAAATATAACCCTATAACTCTGACTACCAACTGCAATTGAGAAATGGACCGTAAGTCAAAACGTCTACCCCAAAGTGACAGCTTGTGGCCGAGAATAAGGGTGCTCTGTGAGTGCTTGGGTCTGCAGAAGTTTGTAGAACAACGTACTAGTTGTGAGGAGGGCAAGCTGCGGAGCCAACGCCTTGCTCCACCTCTGCTTTTTTTTTTCTAGTAAAATCTTTTATTTTATAACACTGTACCATCAAATTAAAAGTCAAAATAAGCGTTCACCCAATTGCCTAAATGGTTATTACACATACGTATATATTTGGTTGAAAAGGGAGAGAGAAAAGAGGAATTTGAAGGCTAAAATAAACAAATGGGACCTAATGAAACTTAAAAGCTTTTGCACAGCAAAGGAAACCATAAACAAGACCAAAAGACAACCCTCAGAATGGGAGAAAATATTTGCAAATGAAGCAACTGACAAAGGATGAATCTCCAAAATTTACAAGCAGCTCATGCAACTCAATAACAAAAAAGCAAACAACCCAATCCAAAAATGGGCAGAAGACCTAAATAGACATTTCTCCAAAGAAGATATACAGACTGCCAACAAACACATGAAAGAATGCTCAACATCATTAATCATTAGAGAAATGCAAATCAAAACTACAATGAGATATCATCTCACACCAGTCAGAATGGCCATCATCAAAAAATCTACAAACACTAAATGCTGGAGAGGATGTGGAGAAAAGGGAGCCCTCTTGCACTGTTGGTGGGAATGTAAACTGGTACAGCCACTATAGAGAACAGTATGGAGGTTCCTTAAAAAACTACAAATAGAACGACCATATGACCCAGCAATCCCACTACTGGGCATATACCCTGAGAAAACCATAATTCAAAAAGAGTCATGTACCAAAATGTTCATTGCAGCTCTATTTACAATAGCCCGGAGATGGAAACAACCTAAGTGTCCATCAACAGATGAATGGATAAAGAAGATGTGGCACATATATACAATGGAATATTACTCAGCCATAAAAGGAAACGAAATTGAGTTATTTGTAGTGAGGTGGATGGACCTAGAGTCTGTCATACAGAGTGAAGTAAGTCAGAAAGAGAAAGACAAATACCGTATGCTAACACATATATATGGAATCTAAAAAAAAAATGTCATGAAGAACCTAGGGGTAAGACAGGAATAAAGACACAGACCTACTAGAGAATGGACTTGAGGATATGGGGAGGGGGAAGGGTAAGCTGTGACAAAGCGAGAGAGTGGCATGGACATATACACACTACCAAACGTAAGATAGATAGCCAGTGGGAAGCAGCCGCATAGCACAGGGAGATCAGCTCGGTGCTTTGTGACCACCTGGAGGCGTGGGATAGGGAGGGTGGGAAGGAGGGAGACGCAAGAGGGAAGAGATATGGGAACATATGTATATGTATAACTGATTCACTTTGTTATAAAGCAGAAACTAACACACCATTGTAAAGCAATTATACTCCAATAAAGATGCAAAAAAAAAAAGAATGAAAAAAGAAGTACATCATCATCACCGTAGTGGTTAAGATTTGCTGAACACTTAATGTGTCAAGCACTATACATGTATTACCTCACAAGGAGTACCCTCTATTATAAGCTCTGTTTTTACAAATTAGGAAACTATGTAAAACAAGGTTAAATAAATTACCCAAAGCCATACAGCTAGTTAGTAAGGATGCTGCGGTTTGAACCCAAATAGTCTAACACCAGAACATACACAGATAGGCAGACACACACACAAATCAATATTATTATTATTTTCGTCGCATGGCTTGTGGGATCTTAGTTCCCCGACGAGGTATCGAACCTGGGCGGCCAGCAGTGAAGGCGCCAATTCCTAACCACTGGACCGCCAGGGAAGTCCTTGACCTCTTTCTAGCCGTGCAAAATGCTGGGCAGGTTACTGAACCTCTCTGTCACTCCACTGACTCATATTTTAAGAAGGAATAATAATACTTACCTCAGAGGGTTGTTGTGAGGATTAAACAATTTAATACACATATCGAAACTGTTAAAACTGTGCCTGGCATAAACTAAATAATAAATGCTTATACTTCTATTTGCATTTTTTTTATACCAAGATCTCTCTTTTCAGAATAGAAAGACACATTTAGTTAACCAAAGGTATGGTGGTAATCATTTCACAACGTGTACACACATCAAATCATGTTGTAACATTACATGTCCACTACATCTCAATAAAACTGGAAAAAAGCGCATTAGTTAACTCCCAGAGGAAAAAATTGATCACTTAGGGACTAGCATCCTCTGAATTCTCTCAGTTGCGCAGGCCTGCCAACTGAAGATGGACGTAAATGGCGTGTTCTATGAGGCGTCCCCTGCAGAGTAGGGCAGTTCTGGAATTATCAGTGGGGAAGAGACTCCCCCAGCCACCTGCTTTCAGCACAGAGAGCTCACCTGATCCTCCAGACTCCGGTCCCAGGGCTGGCGGCTCTCCCCAGCTTCCTCTGCAGGGGCTGCCAGGGGCTCATGCTTCTGGGCGCTGCCGTCGAGCCCTCTGGGGCCCACGGGCTTCGGGCTGGGCTGTTCCTGAGCCTGACGCTCTGCCCTCGACCGGCTGAACGTCCTTTCTGCTTCCTGGAGATCCGTCAGGGTTACACCCTGGGAAAATACCACAAGGTCAGAGAGGTTTCACCCTAACCATGGAATAACGCCCCGTGAATGAGCAGGGAAACTCCGTAAAGATCTAATGGTACCAAATTCCAAATGAAGCTCCCGAAATGTGTGAGGCCACTTCAAGCAATATATGCTGAAAACAAACACCTCAGTACGCAGAGGCCCCAGGCCTGAGCCTAGATACACTTCAAACACAATACTTGAGCGTTTCCTGCTTGAGTTCCAGAAACAGGGCAGCACTGATGCCTGCCCGTTGCTTCCACACCCATGGTTCTCACATCTCCACCTGGACGCTCCCGACCCCCCACGAGCACGCAGCCACCAACAGAGAGTGTCCAGCAGATACGAGGAAAACTTAAGTTTACGCACAGAAAGAAGAACCAGGCTCAAAATGGTGACAGTTCAGAGCCAGGCTAGAACCACCACCAAAACCAAAAACCAAACCCACACAAACAAACACAAAACCAACCCTGAGGGAGCTGCCAAGATGCCAGAGCAGGAAGACCCTGAGCTCGCCTCTTCCCAGGGCACCAGGATAACTATGCACAGAACAACTGCTGACCAGGGCCGACCAGAAGAGATCTTCTACAGCTACAGACGTACCGAAAGAACCACAACAAGACGGGTAGGAGGGGCGACCCACAAATGTTGTGGAGGTTCTCCCCCAGGAGCGAGCGGTCTGGTCTGAGCCCCAGCCTGGGGGCCCTGCGCTGGGGGAGACAAGCCTCCAGAACGTCTGGGTTTGAAGGCCAGCAGGGCTTCCTTTCAGGAGCCCCAGAGGGCTGTGTGGGGATAGAGACCCCACTCTTACAGGGCACACACAAAATCTCACGTGCTCCACAACCCAGGGCAGAAGCAGTAATTTCAAAGGAGCCTGGGTCAGACCCACCTGCTGATCTTGGAGAGTCTCCCGGAGAGGCAGGCCTGTGATGTTGGGGACACAGACGCTGGCAGCAGCCACTCTGGGGAGCTGGTTCAACTGCAAGGACACTGGTGCAGAGGCAGGCACCATCGTGGAGTCCTCCCTCTAGCTTATTACCCTCAGGACCCAGCCCCGCTCATAGCCAACAGAACACAGGCACCAGGAATGGGACGGCCTCAGGCCAAGCAACTAACTAGGCGGGGACACAGGCCCACCCACCAGCAGACAGGCTGCCTTATGACCCCCTGGACACAGCCCTGCCCACCAGAGGGCCCAGAACCCAGCCCAACACACCAGTGCACAGGCACTAGACCCGGGACCACCAGAGACCTACAGCCAGAGACCCAGTGGGCAGCTCCACCGACCAGTGGGCAGACACCAGCCCCAGAAACCCCTGGGCCCTGGCCCTGCCCACCAGTAAGCCTCCTCTAGCCTTCAGACCAGCCTCACACGCCAATGGGTGGACACCACACCAATGGGTGGACACCAGCCCCAGGACAATCACAGCCCACAGCCTGCCGTGGGAGGACCCAGTCCATCTACCAGCAGGTCAGCACCAGCCCTGGGGCCAGCTGGGCCCCAGCCCTGCCCACCAGCAGGCCAACACAAGCTTCAGAACACACTGGACCCCACAGCTAGCTGTATCACGAACCAGCCCCAACAATCAGCAGTCTGACACCAGCTCTGGACCCTGGGGCCCTGCAGCCAGACCCCCAGGACCCGGCTCTGCCCACCAGCAGGCCAGCACTAGCCCCAGGACCTAGCTTCACTCACCAGTGAAGAGGGCGGGCCACAGCCCCACTGACTCTACTCCCAGTGAGCTAGCACTAGCCCTGGGGCCCGCCTGGGTTCCACAGTCAGCCACCTCATGACCCGGTCACGGCAACCAGCAGCCAGCAGCCTCCACACAAGGCAGGGCCTGGCAACCAACCAGCCCACCCACGTAGTCAGCCCACCACAACAGAATGACCCACGCAGCCCACAGAGGGGGCACCCCTACAGCATACAGCTTTGGTGACCAGAGAGGAGTGCACTGCTGGGACGTATAGGACGCCTCCTACAGAAGGCCACTTCCCCAAGGTCAAGAAATGTAACCAACCTACCAGATACATGGAAGCACAATGTTATAAACAGCAAGTTAGGCAAAATGAGGCGACAGAAGAACATGTTCCAAATGAAAGAACAAGATAAAACCGCAGAAGAACAACTAAGTGAAGTGGAGACAGGCAATCTACCTGAGAAAAAGTTCAAGGTTATGGTCGTAAAGATGATCAAAGAACTTAAGAAAGAATGAACAGAGTGAGAAGTTGTAAGTTTTTAACAAAGAGTTGGACAATACAAAGAACAACCAAACAGAGATGAAGAATACAATAACTGAAATGAAAAATGCACTAGGAGGAATCAACAGTATACTAAATGATACAGAGGAACAGACCAGTGAGCTGGAAGACAGAATAGTGGAGATCACTGGCACCGAACAGAAAAAATATATACATATAAATAAATGAGGACACTTCAAGAGACCTCTACGATGACATCAAATGCTCTAACAGTCACATCACAGAGGTCCCAAAAGGAGAAGAGAGAGAGAGAAAGGGTCACAGAACATATCTGAAGACATAACAGTTGAAAATTTCCCTAACCTGGGAAGGGAAACAGACATCCAGGTCCAGGAAGCACAGAGTCCCAAACAGGATCAACCCAAAGAGGACCACACCAAGACATATTGGAATTAAAATGGCGAAAGTTAAAGACAGAATATTAAAAGCAGCAAGGGAGAAGCAGCATGTTATATACAAGGGAACTCCCATAAAGCTATCAGCTGACTTTTCAGCAGAAACTCTGCAGGCCAGAAGGGAGTGGCACAATATAATTAGACTGATGAAAAGGAAAAGCCTACAACCAAGAATGCTCTACCCAGCAAGGCTCTCATTCAGAGTTGATGGAGAAAGCAAAAGCTTTACACACAAGCAAAAGTTAAAAGAGTTCAGCACCAACAAACCAGCTTTATAAGAAATGTTAAAGGTATTTCTCTAAGCAAAAGAAAGGAAAAAGAAAAAAAAACAAAAAAAGATCACAACTAGAAACATGAAAATTATGAAAGGAAAAATCTCATTGGTAAAGGCAAATATACAGCAAAGGTAGTAAATCAACCAAGTACAAACCTACTAGAAAGGTTAAAAGACAAAGTAGTAAAATCAACTATATCCACAATAAGAAGTTAAGGGATACACAAAATGAAAGGATATAAAATATGATGTCAAAAACAGTAATCATGGGGGGAGAGAAGGAAAAATGCAGGGTTATTAAAATGTTATTTGAAATTAAAGAGATCAGCGACTTGAAATAATTGTGCGTGTGTGTGTGTGTGTGTATACACACACACATATATTGCTATATGCAAACTTCATGGTAATTACAAACCAAAAAATCTATAATAGATACATACACATAAAAGGGAAGGAAATCCAAACATAACACTAAAGAGTGTCATCAAATCACAAGGGAAGAGAACAAAAGAGGAAAGGAACAAAAAAGGACTAAAAAAACAATCCCGAAACAGTAACAAAATGGCAATAAGTACATACATATCAATAACTACTTTATATGAAATGGATTAAATGCTGCAATCAAAAGATGGAGTGGCTGAAAGGATACAAAAACAAGACCCACATATTGGGGCTGGCCAAAAAGTTCGTTCGCTTTTTCTGTAAGATGTTATGGAAAAACCCGAACGAGCTTTTTGGCCCACCCAATATATGCTGCCTACAAGAGACACACTTCAGATCTAAAGACACACACAGACTGAAAGTGAGGGAATGGAAAAAGGTATTCCATACAAACGGAAATGAAAAGAAAGCTGGGTAGCAATACTTATAACAGAAAAATAGACTTTAAAATAGAGACTGTTGGGACTTCCCTGGTGGCACAGTGGTTAAGAATCCACCTGCCAGTGTGGGAGACGTGGGTTCGATCCCTGGTCTGGGAAGATCCCACATGCCGTGGAGCAACTAATCCCATGTGCCACAACTACCGAGCCTGCGCTCTAGAGCCTGCGTGCCACAACTACTGAGCTCACGTGTTGCAATTACTGAAGCCCATGCGCCTAGAGCCCGTGCTCCACAATAAGAGAAGCCACCGCAATGAGAAGCCCACACACTGCAACGAAGAGTGGCCCCTGCTCGCCGCAACTAGAGAAAGCCTGTGCACAGCAACGAAGACCCAACACAGCCATAAATAAATAAATAAATAATAAAAAGAAAATAAAGACTGTTACAAGAGACAAAGAAGGACAGTACATAATAATCAAGGGATGAATCCAAGAAGAAGATATAACAATTGAAAATATATTTGCACCCAACACAGGAGCACCTAAATGAATAAAGCAAATATTAATAGACATAAAGGGAGAAATCAACAGTAACACAAAAATAGTAGGGGACTTTAACAGCCCACTTACATCAATGGGCAGATCATCCACACAAAAGATCAGTAAGGAAACTCTGGCCTTAAATGGCACATCAGACCAGATGGACTTAATATAGAGAGAGAGTATTCCATCCAAAAGCAGCAGAATACACACTCTTTTCAAATGCATATTCTCCAGGATACATCTGTGCTATATCATGGAACGAGTCACAGTACATCTGAGAAGGCTGCAATCACTACCAAGCATCTCTTCCAACCACAAGGCTGTGAGACTAGAAATCAACTACAAGAGTAAAAACCACAGAGAACACAAACGTGTGTGGCCCAAACGAAATGCTACTAAACAACCAATGGATCACTGGAAAAATCAAAGAAGAATTCAAAATACACCTGGAGACAAATGAAATGAAAACACAGTGTTCCAAGATCTTCGGGATGCTGCAAAGCAATTCTAAGAGGGAAGTTTATAGCAATACAGCCCTCTCAGGAAACAAGAAAAATCTCAAATAAACAACCTAACCTTAACCTAAAGGAATCAGAAAAAGAAGAATAAACAACACCCAAAGTTAGTAGAATTTCTCCTAGGAGAACACATAGGCAGAACACTCTTTGACATAAATCACAGCAATATTTTTTTGGATCTGCCTCCTACGGCAAGGAAACAAAAACAAAAATAAGCAAATGGGACCTAACGAAGCTTAAAAGTTTTTGCACAGTAAAGGAAACCATCAACAAAACGAAAAGACAAATGGGAAAGACTGAATGGGAGAAAATATTTGCAAATGATATGACCAATAAGGGGTTAATCTCCAAAATATATAAACAGCTCATACAACTCAATGTCAAAAAAACAAACAAGCCAATTTAAAAATGGGCTGAAGACCTGAATAGACATTTTTCCAAAGAAGACATACAGATGGCCAACAGGTACATGAAAAGATGCTCAACATCACTCATCATCAGGGAAATGCAAATCAAAACCACAGTGAGATGTCACCTCACACCTGTCAGAATGGCTGTCATCAGAAAGACCATAAATGACAAATGTTGGTGAGAATGCAGAGAAAAGGGAACCCTAGTACACTGTTGATGGGAGTGTACACTGGTACAGCCACTGTGGAAAACAGTATAGAGGACCCTCAGTAAACTAAAAATAGAACTCCCGTATGATCCAGCAATTCCACTCCCGGGCATATATCTGAAAAAACCAAAAACACTAATTCGAAAAGACACATGCACCCCAATATTCACGGCAGCCTTATTTACAACTGCCAAGATATGGAAGCCATCTAGCTGTCTATCAACAGATGCATGGATACAGAAGACGTGAGACACACACAGACACACACATATATACACATACTCCACATATGCATACATACATATATGGAGTATTAGCCATTGGCATGAAATTTTGCCATTTGCAACAACATGGATGGACCTGGAGTGTATCATGCTGAGTGAAAAAAGTCAGAGGACAAATACTGTAAGACATCACTTCTGTGTGGAATCTAAAAAATAAAATCAACCAGTGAATATAACAAAAAAGACACAGACTCACAGATATAGAGAAAAGACCAGTGGTTGCCAGAGGGAGAGGGAAGGGGGAGGGAAATACTGGGGCAGGGGATTAAGAGGTACAACTTATTATGCATAAAATAAGCTACAAGGATATATTTACAACACAGGGAGTACAGCCAATATTTTATAACTATAAATGGCATACAATCTTTTTTTTTTTTTTTTGTGGTACGCGGGTCTCTCACTGCTGTGGCCTCTCCCGTTGCGGAGCACAGGCTCCGGATGCGCAGGCCTAGCGGCCATGGCTCACGGGCCCAGCCGCTCCGCGGCATGTGGGATCTTCCCGGACCGGGGCACGAACCCGTGTCCCCTGCATCGGCAGGCGGACTCTCAACCACTGCGCCACCAGGGAAGCCCTAGCATATGATCTTAAAAAATTTTACTCAGTATGATGTACACCTGAAGCTAACAATATTGTAAACCAACTATACCTCCATTTAAAAAAATTTTTTTAAAAACCCCACAAGCCCTGAACTAGCTTTTCTCTAAAATAATTTTGTAACTGTAGGAATCACACAGAGACATTCCACCAATTAAATTTTTCCCCAGGCTCATAGGAGCAGTAGTACAGAAAAAAAGGAAATAATGAGGAGACATCTGCAGGACAAGGGGGAAAAGGGTTAGGAAGACAGTGAGTTGATTCTTAACTCAAGTAGTCATATGCTCATGTCCTCAGAAGAGGGAAGTTCCAAAGCCGGAAGGCAACTATTAGCTAATTTGTTCACTCATTCTCTTAATAAAAAGTTACTGCGTTCTTAAGTACTGGAACTACAAAGACAAATCAAATGATTCCTGTACTCAAGAACCATAATCTAATGGAAAAGACATAAGAAAACAGATGAGTATAATGGAAAGTAAGTATTAAGACGGAAACATATGACCCAGCCTATTCTATTTCTGGGTCTATACCCAAAAGAACTAAAAGCAGGGTCTGATGAGATATCGGCACGCTGGCGTTCACAGCAAGACTGTTCACAGCGGCCGAAAGGTGGAAGCAACCTAAGTGTCCATCAACGGAGGACGGACGGACCAGATGTGGTCTAAACACACAACAAAATATTATTCAGCCTTACAAAGGAAGGCAATTCTGACATGTGCCACCACATGGATGAACCCTGAAGACATTACACTGAGTGAAGCAAGCCAGTCACCAAAAAGACAGAAACCGTGTGATTCCACTCGCATGAGCTACCTAGAGTCAAGGTCGCAGAGATAAAAAGTACAGCGGTGTTGCCAGAAGCTGTGGGGAGAGAGGGAGCTGTTTAATGGGTAGAGAGGTTCAGTTTGGGGAGACGAAAGCTGTTCTGGAGATGGTGGCGCCGATGACTGCACAGTGACGTGAATGCATTTAATGCCGATGAATCGTATGCTTAAAAATGGCTAGAACATTAAGTCGTATGTTACGTATCGCCTGCCACAGTAAACCAAACCAAAACAAATGCTTGTCTGGCCCTCGTGGGGGTTACATCCTCTGGGGAAACAAACCACCATGAAGCACAAGCAGTAACAGCTGTGGCAATGACTACACAGGGCGGCACCTGCCCGACCCTGGAGGGTCAGGAACGACACAAGGGCACTCGGGGGCTACGCATAGGTCCCTCTCTCAGTCCTCAGCTCTCCTGCTTGGCGTCTGTAGCATCTGAAGCTGCGGAGCTTCCCCTCTTCACTGGAGACTGCCTTTCACTCCCTCGGGTACCATCTCCTGGTTGACCCCTCAGCCCTCTGACTGCTCCTCGGCTCTGCTGTCCGGCTCATCCTCCTCTGCTTCCTTGACGCCCAATCACAGCCTCCCTCAACGGTTGCTGCCACACGCCTGTCATCTCCAGCTCAGCTAAGGAACAGCTTTCCACGGGCCTCCAGGCTTCACAGACCACTCCCAGCAGTTCTCTGCACAGCGACTTTTGCAAAATATAACATAGATCATATCTTCCTTACTTCAAAGCTGCCCCGAGGGACTCTTCTTTTTTCTAACATCATTATTGAAACATAATCCACGTAAGATCCACCCTTTTAAAGAGTACAACTGGCTGTTTTCTAGTATATTCACAGAGCTGTGCAAAATCCCCATCTAATTTCAGGACATTTCATCACCCCAGAAAGAAAGAAACCCCACACCCTTAGCGGTCATTTCCCATTCCTCCCTCTCTCCAGCCCCCAGCAAATACTAATCCACTTTCTATTTCTCTGGATTTGCCTATTCTGGACATTTTCATGCAAATGGAATCATGCCAAGTTTCTTTCATGCAGCATAACTTTTTCTTAAGGTTCATCCACATTGCAGCATTGGCATGCGTCAGGACTTCATCTCTTTTTATTCCCAAATCAGTGGAAATTTGTGAGGGTTTTTTCCAGTTTTGTTAGCTGCTTCATTTATTTGGTCTGTGCAATGGCCCCACTTGGGCCCACTGCCCAGCACTCGCTGGGGCACCACCAGCCACAGAACTCTGACCTTGACGCTGCAGGGAGCCCAGGGCTCAGCCCTCCAGCGAACCTGCACACTCCACACGTAATCTTGGTCTATACAGCAAGTTAACTCTGGCCAGAGATGACACTGAATTTGGGTCTCTGGCTCCTGTGAATAATGCTATTATAAATATCTGTGTAGGGCTTTTCTGTAGAAGCCTGCTTTATTTCTCTTGAGTACACACCCAGAAGCAACATGGCTGGGTCCTGTGGTAACTCTATGGTTAACACTCTGAGATTGTGCCAGACTGTTCTCCTGCAGGAATTAAGGTGTGGGCCTTAAGCACACGTGGAATGATTAGTCTTAGGGAGGGAAGGAGAGAAACCTGCTCTGCGCCTGAAGAACAGAAGCGAGAGGGGGTATATGTAGCTATGAATTCATTTGATTCTATGTAGTGTAAGATTTAACAGGAAAGCTTTCACTACAATGGCTGGAATAAGGCACACATTTTATCACGGTTTAATTGTACTTCCAGTGGAAAGGCACACAGACAAAAAAGGACTTAAACACGGAGGCCACACTCACTTGGGTAGACCTGCGAGTCTGCCGAGCTTGTCTGGAGCGTGCTTTCCGTAATGACTCTGCTTCCTCGTCCCGTACAGGAGTCAGATACGACCTGCGGGGAAGAAGGGTCACAGCAGAGGTAAGGCCCTGGGGGCAGCAGGTGCGTCTGCACACCGAGGGGGTTTCTGTGAGCCAAGGTGAAGTGAGGCCGACTCAACCCGACAGCCTATCGGTGAACATTACATAAGCCAAGACATCATCTGTAAACGTATCAGTGTTCGTGCAGAATCACACCACCTGTAACTGTAAGATGAGAACTTTCTTTCCTCTTTCCCATCCTTAGACTTTTTATTTCGTTTCCTGCCTTCGCGCTCTGGCTAGCACTGATGACAGTCATTTCCCTGCTTCGCTCCTGCCTTCAGAGAGACAGCTTCTGGCCAAGACCCTGCAGACTCTGCTCCTCAGGCGAAGGCAACTCCTTCCCCGCCCATGGGAGTGCACTAGGAGGGGCTTGTTGTTATTTGTTTTGTTGTTTAATCATTAGTGTGTGAACTTTATCATAGGCTTTTCTTCCCTGTATACTGAGATTATCATTTCCTTCTTTCTTCTGTTAATATGGAGAATTACACTGAACAAGTTTTGAATGATAAAACCACCCTAAATGCTTGGGATAAGCTCAACTTAATCATGATGTATCACCATTTATAGAGACTTACTTTTTATATAGATTCAGTATTATTTACTTTAGGATTCCTCCATCCGTGTTCATGCAAGAAACTGGCCTGTAATTTTCCCTTATAATAACCCAGCCAGTCTTGAAATTACAGTTATGAAAGTTGGGAAGTGTTTTCTCCTTGTCTATTTTCTTTGAGAATCTGTGTAAGACTGGGGTCATTTCCTCCTTAAATAATTGGAAGGGTTCACCAACAGAGCCATCTGGGTTTAGAGTGTTCTTTATGGGAAGGTTTTAAATAAGGGTTGCAATTTCTTTAACAGAACTAGGCCTATTCGGGTGTTCTGTTTTGGTAATATTTGTTTTTCAAGGAATCTTATCTATATTTTCATATTCAGTACCACAAAACGGTTCATAATATCCTAATAATACATTTTAATTGTCACTGTAATACAAGCATATCTCAGAGATACTGCAAGGTCAGTTCCAGACCACCACAATAAAGGGAATCTTGCAATAAAGTCAGTCATGTGAAATTTTTGGTTGTCCAGTACATATTAAAAATTATGTTTATGCTATACTGTAGAAAGTGTGCAATAGCATATCTTTAAAAAACAAGGTACATACTTTAATTTAAAAATATTGCTAAAAACGCTAGCCATCATCTGAGCCTTCGGCAAGCTGTAATCTTTTTGCTGGTGGAGGGTCTTGCCTTGACGTTGCTGGCGACTCGCTGGTCAGGATGGTGGCTGCTGTGGGCTGGGGTGGCCGTGGCGATGTCTTGAAAGAAGACAGCAGTGACGTTTGCCTCACTGACTGACTCTTCCCTTCATGAACGATTTCTCTGTAGCCTGTGATGCTGGCTGATACCATCTGACCCACAGTAGAACTTCTTTCAAGACTGGAGTCGATCCTCTCAAATCCTGCCCCTGCTTTATCAACTAAGTTATGTAATATTCTAAATCCTCTGTTGTCATCTTAATAACCTTCACAGTATCTTCACCAGGAGTAGAGTCCATTGCAAAGGAACACTTTCTTTTTTGCTTTAAATTTTAGTTTTTTAATTGGAGTATAGCTGATTTACAACGTGTGTTAGCTTCAAGTGTATAGCAGAGTGATTCAGTTACACACGTACATACATCTATCCTTTTTCAGACTCTTTTCCCTTACAGGTTAGTACAAAATATTGAGTAGGGCTCCCTGTGCTGACAGTAGTCCTTATCGTTTACCCGTTTTATGTGTAGTAGTGTGTACATGTTGATCCCAAACTCCTAATCTGCCCCCCCTTCCCCTTCGGTAACCATAAGTTTGTTTTCTATGTCTGTGAGTCTATTTCTGTTTTGTATATAAGTTCATTTGTATCTTTTATTTATTTTTTTTAAGATCCCACATACAAGTGATATCATATGGTATTTGTCTTTGTCTAGCTTACTTCACCTAGTATGATAACTTCACCTAGTATGATAACCTCTAGGTCCACCCACGTTGCTGCAAATGGCATTATTTCATTCTTTCTTTTATGGCTGAGTGATATTCCATTGTATACGTGTACCACATCTTCTTTATCCAGTCATCTGCGGATAGACATTTAGGCTGTTTCTATGTCTTCACTACTGTAACTAGTGCTATGAATAAGAAACCACTTTCTTTGGTCACCCAAAAGAAGCAACTCCTCATCCTTCAAGTTGTATCATGAGATTGCAGCAATTCAGTCACATCTTTAGGCCCCCATTTCTAATTCTATTTCTCTTGCTTTCTCCACCAAATCTGCAGTTACCTCCTCCACTGGAGTCTTGAACCCCTCGAAATCATCCATGGGAGTTGGAATCTACTTTTTCCAAACTCCTGTTAAGGTGGATATTCTGATCTCTTCCCATGAATCACAAATGTTCTTAATGGCATCTAGAATGGTGATTCCTTTCCAGAGGGTTTTCAATTGACTTTGCCTAGATCCATCAGAGGAGTCACCAATCTATGGCACCTATAGCCTGATGAAATGTATTTCTCTTTTTTCTTTTTTCATAAATTTATTTATTTTTGGCTGCACTGGGTCTTCGTTGCTGCGCGCGGGCTTTCTCTAGTTGCGGCGAGCGGGGGCTACTCTTCGCTGCGGTGCGCGGGCTTCTCATTGCAGTGGCTTCTCTTTGTTGCAGAGCACGGGCTCTAGGCGTGCAGGCTTCAGTAGTTGTGGCAAAAGGGCTCAGTAGTTGTGGCTTGCAGGCTCTAGAGCACAGGCTCCGTAGTTGTGGCACACCGGCTTAGTTGCTCCGCGGCATGTGGGATCTTCCCGGACCAGGGATCCAACCCGTGTCGCCTGCACTGGCAGGTGGATTCTTATCCACTGCGCCACCAGGGAAGTCCCCAAAATGTATTTCTTAAACAATAAGGCTTGACAGTTACTCCTTGACCCACAGGCTGCAGGACGGATGTTGTGTTTGCAGCAAGAAAGCAACGTGAGTCTCATTGCCCATCTCCGTCAGAGCTCTTGGCTGACACCAGGTGCGCTGTCAACGAGCAGTCATATTTTGAATCTTTTTTTTTCCCAAGTAAGTCACAACAGTGGGCTTAAAATATTCAGTAAACCATGTTGTAAACAGATGTGCTGTCATCCAGGCTTTGTTGTTCCATTTACAGAGCACAGGCAGAGTAGATGTAGCATAATTCTTAAGGGCCCTAGGATTTTCGGAATGGTAAATGAGCACTGGCTTCAACTGAAAGTCACCAGCTGCACTAGCCCCTAACAGGAGGGTCGGCCTGTCCTTTGAAGCCAGGCACTGACGTCCCCTCTCTAACTATGGAAGTCCTGGATGGCATCTTCTTCCAATAGAAGGCTGTTTAACCTACGCTGAAAATCTGTTGTTTAGTGCAGCCACTTTCAGGAATTATCTTAGCTGGGTCTCCTGGATAACTTGCTGCAGCTTCTACATCAGCACCTGCTGCTTCACCTTGCACGTTTATGTCAGTGAGAATGCATCTTTCCTTAAACCTCATGAATCAACCTCTGCCAAGCTTCAAGTTCTTCTTCTGCAGCTTCCCCACCGCTTTCAGCCTTCATGGAACTGAAGAGAGTTAGGGCCTTGCTCTGGATGAGGCTTTGTTGTTCCTGGTTTGATCTTCTATCCAGACCACTCAGACTTTCTCCATATCAGCGATAAGGCTGTCTTGCTTTCTTATCATTTGTGTGTTCACCGAAGTAGCGCTTTTAATTCCCTTCAAGAACTTTTCCTTTGCGTTTCCAGCTTGGCTGTTTGGTGCAAGAGGCCCAGCTTTAGGCCTATCTTGGCTTTCCACATGCCTTCCTCACTAAGGGTAATAATTTCTAGTTTTTGATTTAAAGTGAGAGATGTGCAACTCTTCCTTTCACTTGAATACTTAGAGACCCTTGTAGGGTTATTAATTGGCCTAATTTCAGTATTGTTGTGTCTCAGGGAATAGGGAGGCCCAAGGAGAGGGAGAGGGACAGGGGAACCGCTGCTGGATAGAGCAGTAAAAATACAGCATTTGTTGATTAAGTTTGTGGTTTCATATGGGTGTGGTGTGTGGCACCCCAAACAATTACAATAGTAACATCAAATATCGCTGATCACAGATACCATAACAAATACAATAATGAAAAAGGTTGAAATATTGTGAGAATAACCAAATGTGACACAGAGACATGAAGTGACCAGATGCTGTTGGAAAAATTGCGCCAAGAGACTTGTTCGACACACACCGGCCTTCAATTTGTGAACAACGCAGTATCTGGAAGTGATAATGTGAAGCACAATAAAATTAGGTCTACTTGTACCTATAGCAATGGTTCTCAAACTGTTTGGTCTGAGGACCCTTTTATATTTTAAAAAATTATTGAGGATCCCCAAACAGCTTTTGTTTTATGTGGGGTATTATCTATTAATATTTACCTTATTAGGCAGTAAAGTTGAGAAATTAAACATGTGTTTATTAATTCATCTGAAAATGATAGCCCTATTCATATTAACATCAATAACTTATCTTTTATGAAAAATAACTAAATTTTCTAAAACAAAAGAATTTAGTAAGAGTGGCATTATTTTACATTTTTGTAAATTTCTTTAATGTTGGCTTAATAGAAGAGAGCCCAATTCTCATATACATTTCTGCATTCGATATGCTGCAGTATGTTTTTTTAGTTAAAATACATAAAAAATATCCACTCCTGCACAGATATGTAGTTGGAAGAGCAAGGAGTATTAGAATAGCTTTTTCAGATAATTGTGGACCGTCTTCTTTGATCCTATAGTCAAACACAAGTGGTACTTTCTTCAAGGTTAGTCGCAATGTCGAATCTGAAATGATGCTAACAGAATTTTCATATTCTGTTATGCCGAAATCCAGTGGTCGATCTTGTACTTTGGATGGAATGTCTTACCCAGGCGTGTCTTTGGTAAAATCTCCCAAATGGTGACACATTTCAT